CTCATTTATTTCTCAAAAAAATAAAATAAAATAAAAAAATGGCGGAGTTTGCTATATTTCTGTTCTATTTTCAGTATTTCTTCACTGGCTTGTTCATTAAGTCTGTCTATTTCATGTTGTACTTCATCGATGTGTTCAATTGCTGCTTGTTGCTCTTTTTTCTGAGGTCTCATGGGCCCCGTCGTGGTTGGAGTTGAGCTCCTTTTTACCGACTTCAGCCGCCGGCGCCGACGTGGTGCTGCTCCGCGGTCGGGGAAGCGGGAGGGGGAGAGAAGGGAAGGCGAAGGGAAGGCGAAGGGGGCGGGCGGGCGGCTTCCCTCAGGCCGCACGCGCGGGCGCCCGCTCCCTCGGCCGCCTCCTCCCGCGCAGCTCGCTCGCCCTCCCCTCGCGCTCGCGCTCGCTCAGCCCTGGAGGCCAGACCTTCAGGGAGGGGCGGGGGCGGCGTGCAGGCTGGCCGGGGCTCCTGCTCGCGGAGGGGAGGCGGCGGCCGCAGCGAGCGGGCAGGGGTTCAGCTCCCTCACTCGCGCTCCGCGCTCCAGCTCGCTGCTCTCTCCCCGAGCCGCCGCCGCCTCATGAAATTGCTTCTTTAACCAGTTTGTATTTCATCTTTAAGTCCTTATAAAGTTATATTCTTCACAATCATTAGTTAAATCTTTCGATTATAGATTTTAGTTATTAAACCTGAATTAAGCTAAACAACAACTAATGAAATATTTGTATCATATATTTATATTATGTATATTAAACTGATGCCACTTGATAGCCTTAGGAACCCAACTGGACTTCTGATATACAGTACGTGTATCTCTAATTCCTAATGCTGGGAAATTTTCTCTGTGTCTATTACAAAGATAAAGTGACCATATTTAGCAATCAAAAATTATTTAAATTACGTGTAAAACTTCACACCAAATGGCCTTGTATATTTATATTTTGTGTGTATCCTTTCAGAAAGCCATCACTTAGGAAAAGAGTTGATAATGATTGCTGGAGGGAATCAAAGCATTTTGCTCTGGATGAATAAAGAGGTAAAAATAAATCTCTACATGTTCTGTAACTTGGTACTTGAAACAAAATAAAAGATTCTAAAATCCAGATTTGCTAAACTACAAAATTATCAGGTTACTAGGTTGATTTTTTCGGGAAAAGCTAGACATTATAAATTCCTTATTGTCTAAGTTACATTATTTTAACCTACAAAAAACAGATTTTCCTGTTGAGTGTTTTATCAGTGTGATTTCCTTACCTACCTTTTGAAGACTTCTGGCCAAAAATAGTATCGTTCAGTATCCTAGTGAGTTAATAGGTTGACAGATTTATACAGCAATAATCAGTCTTCAGCTTCTTTGGCCTACTTCACTGAGGGAAATTAGGTTCTCTTCTTTACCCTTTTAGAGTCTTGCCCTCAGGACTATCTGTTGTTCAGTTTTATCTGATTGTACTTCTATAAAGTACCAAGTGAGACTCTCAGAGTTACTTGCTTTGTGTTAACCCCAGGCTATATTACCCATATTTAAAGATCATCCAGAGATAGTGGCACATGCCTATAATCCAAGAACTTGAGGCTGAGGCACAATCAGTTAAGCTCAAGAGATGAATATCAGTCTGGACATTATTGACCTTATCTGAAAAGAGACCAAAAAAAAAAAAAAGTATTATCCTCTGATTTTAGAATGTGCTAAAACTTAAGTGTCCATATTTCACATGTTGAAATGTTTGTATTTTACTTTTTTTTTAAATTTTTTTTACATTTATTTATTTATTATGTGTGTGTGTGTGTGTGTGTGTGTGTGTGTGTGTGGCCAGCTCAGCCCACCAGGGGGCGGGGCGGGCTGGCATGTGGTGCTGGGGGATTGAACCATGGTCCCTGTGGTTTGCTAAGCTTGTTCCAAGTAGGTGCTTTAGACCACTGAGCCATCTCACCAGCCCCGTATTTTACTTTTTTGTTTGCTTACAGAACTCCTACGTTAATCTGAGGAGGAAAATTCTTACACTGAATGAAGGGACTGTAAAGAGATGGATTGATGATGTGGGAACTAAACAGTGGCAAAATACCAAAAGGTATGTACATGCTATGTGTCTGATCATGCTTTTCTTTAAAGCAGCATTTCCCAAACTGGTTCTGCACAATACAGAGAGGTGAGATTCTCTGATCTTCTAGCATATTAGTTGGGGTTTTCCAGACTGAACCAATAGGCTTTTTATCTGTAGCTGTCCACCTGTTGAAAGAGACTGTATCTTAAGAAATCAGCTCATGTAATTGTGGAGTTGGCAAGTCAAAGTCTAAAATGTGGGTCCACAGGATAGAAACCTAGGAAAGAGCTGAAGTTATAGCCTGAGTCCAGAGGAATGCCTTTTTCTTGAGTAGCACATTCTTTCAAGGCCCTCAACTGACTGGATGATGCTTTGCTCTACACATTGAGAGATAATATGTTTGTCTCAGTTATTCTCTCATTGTTGGCACAAAATATCCGACATCCAAAATTAAGGAAGGAGAGTTTTATTTATCTCAGTAGAGGTTTTGGTCCATATTCAGCTGGCTCCAAGACAGAGTCACACAAGGCACAGGGTGGCCAGCCATTCCAGTCTGTGGAAAACAGCTAAGAGCAAAGGGAAGAGCCATGGCTGCAGCAGCTAGCTAGCCTCTTTGTCCTCCTTATATTTTTATGCAGATTATCTACCTCAGGGCAAGTGTAGCACTCACTTCCATAATCCCAGTTTTGGGTCATGAATTAATTACAAAGTTTAGAAACTTGCCCCAGCAGCTACAAGGGAATTTAGGGAGACAACTAGACACAGGCCTTAAGAGTGGTTTATATAAGGCTGTTGATTTAAATATTAATCATACCTTTAAAATATCTTTACTGAAACACTTGAAATAATGGTTTAGATATGAGTACCATAGTACTACCATAACCATAGTTGACACCTAAAATTAATCATCATAGCTCATCTGTAAGCTACATGAGCACAACTTTCTATGCTGTAGGATTCCCAGGTCTTGAGTGTGTTTCCATATACTGTGATTCTAAGCAGGAAACATTCTTTGGCATTTCCCATCTCCCTTTCACCTTGGAACTACCATTTTGTGCAACCCAGGGTTGCAATGAACAGAGTATTCCACTTAGAATCTATGGTCTATAGATTGTGCTTCCTCTATGAAGGATCTTTCTGGTAGAAATTTTAGCTCTGGCTTTCTTATTCTAGAAAATATTTATACAAAATAGTTATTCTGTAATATGCAGAGTAGAAATGATGAAGTATTTGTGCAATTACAAGATTTCTTTAAGTTATATATGTTCCTGACACTTCAGTAGAGTGGCACAGTAGTCATCAGTAGAGCTGGCAAGATTTGGTAGGATAGGAATATTTTATTTGTCCTGCAAAGTTCTGACCCCACATCAGGCCTTTTGCTCTTTGTCTGAGGCTTCAGTTTGTACCTTTCTATTTCCATGTTTGCCACTGACATTTGTGATTGAGGAAACAGCATGCTTAGATGCCAAGGTAATAGACAAACACTAGATGAGGGATAAATTGGGAAGAAAATTATGGTTTTATTTATCATGACTTATTCTATAAGAGACATTTGTATAATTTGGTTTAACTCACTGTCTTGTTCCTAATGTAGAGAAATCCAAGAAATTTTTTCATCTCCTGCTTGTCTGACTAGAAGTTTCTTAGTGGAAAGGTAATAAATAAAGTAACTTTCATTTACATATAATTAATATATAAACTATTGTAAAAGCAAATAGAGAATGGCTCAAGGAATGAAAACTTATGTGTTTATCTCTTTATAAATTACTTCCCTTTTTTCAACAAATAGTAATACCTACTTGCCTTATAAAATGCCAGAAATGTATAGAGACAGGTATTTGGCTGAGTGGTAAATTACTTATATAGCATGTGCCAGGCTCATGACACATATACACAAAAGATACCCACAAAAAAGTGAAAAGTATCTGTTATCCATCACTAACAGTAATACCAATTCAATTTGCAAGTAATAGGAGTATATTCCAAAGTATTGTGAAGCTAATACAGGATGATGGCAAATTCAAGGTAATTTTAAAAGACTTCATGTCAAATTTTATATAATTAAGAGGGCTGGAGATGTAACTCAGTGGCAGACAACTTGCATAGGTTATTCCAGGTCCCAGGTTCAATCTTCACTAGTGGAAAACATTAACAATAAACATAATACCAACCAGGCATTGAGACATAAAGAGAAAGTAAAGATTTTCTCAAAAAGAGAAAAAAAACCTAGTAGTTAGAAACATGTAAATATACATACAAACACACAAGAGATTATATTGCTTTATATGTTTTAGAGTATTGGAAATCAAACTCACAACCTTGCACTTGCCCAACAGGTGCGGTACCACTGAACTATATCCCCAGCTATATGTTGTTTTGTTCTTAATATTTTTGACTTTTTCATTTTGTTCAGATTCCCATTATTTAGTATATTCTTTAACATGTGAATGGCTGTATTATGTTCCATGGGGAGGTTATAGCTTAATATATATAACCATTTTCCTATGGATAGGTAATAAGGATCTCTTTTAAATTGTAATTATTTACTTATTTTTTATTTATTTTTGTATTTTTTAGGGAAGGATCTACAGGGTGTTCAGGGTCTCACTACTAGATCAGATTCATAGTGATTCTCCTGTTTGCAGCCCCCCAAGTGCTGAGATTACAGGTGTGCACTACCAGGCCCAGTCTCAATGGCCCTCTTAGCACACCCTGGGGGTGGGGCCATCACGGCAGGCCCCCAGCCCCTGTGCCTGCTTGCAGGCACTTTAATCCTCTGAGCTATTTGGCCGGCCCTGTAATTATTGATTTTTGTGGTGCTAGGGATCAAATCCTCTACCTCATGCTTGCAAAGCATGTCCTCTATCACTGAGCTATACCCCTTCCCCTAGTGAATTTTTAAATTACTAAGAATTACTTTATACTTTTTCCCTAAATATTTATTTGATATTTATTTTAAGGTAATTTGAAACGCTAATTTTAGACACTATATGTTCACAGAATGTGTCTATTTTCAGGCAGTAAATCTGTTCAGATCAGCAAAAAAATCTTGTAAAACACACTTTCCAGTAATAATGCTCTTATTAGAATACAAGAATTTGCTCCCTTTCTTTTGGTCCCTACTTTTAGTTCATGCAACTTGAAGAAATGGTCATATTTCTTCAGAATTAGGGATAACTTCTTAATTGCTAGCTCAAAACATGCTAAGCTGGTATTTCACTGCAAGCTGACACACCCAGGGAAATATAACTTCAGCAAAGGCCATTACCCAGTTTTTCCCCTTACATGCAACAAGCCATAAAGAGGTTTTAGGAAAGGCAGAAAAATTAGAAATTAACTTTTAACTACCAGAGACTGGTAAGTAAAACTGTAAAAAAGATGAATAAGTAAATTCATGGGCATAACCCTTATCTTCTACTAGCTCGAACACTCCCATACCACTATTGGTAACATCTCTAGATTATCACCCTAGTCCAGAAATCCATGTGTTCTACTATTTCTTTACAAATTTATTGGGTTGTTTTGGTTTTGATATTTGTTTAAAATGTATAAAAGTATTATGCATTGGTCATTTCTTTAGACGTCACTTTCTTATAAAAATCTCCATGTAAGGGAAAAGGAAAAAAAACATATGGGTACACAAGATAGTTCAGAGAGTTGCATAGTTAATTTCTCTTAGTTCTTTAGAAAGAAAGTTTAGTGCCAATATTGTATGGACAAGATATCATGCCTATGTCTTCTACTCTGAATATCTCCTAGGAAGACTATATGCAATGTGTTCACTATTGTAACTGTCTAATCTGTTTTGAAACTTGGTTTCATTGTTATGTTTATCTTTTTTTTTCCTTAAAAAAGAAAAATTCTCTGACACAGAAAATAAAACATAAAATGAGTAAAAATATAAACACAATGAGTAAAGTAAGGTAAGAAGGGTGGTATCAGAGATTACTGAAGTAAAACATGGTCTGAAACTGTCCTTAGAAACTTATTACACTTAGAAAGTATACCATTTATGGGCAAGGAAAAACACCACTAATTTTGTCATGCCATGAAATAATTACAAAATCTGTACAATATATAGTCACATTGTATTTTAATTTATAATCTTGAAATAATTTAACATTAAAGAGTTCATGGGGGCCAGGGAGATGGCTCAGTAGAATACGTGTTTGCCTGGCAAGCACAAGGGCCTGAGTTCAATCCCTGGTTCTGGAAAAAAAAATAAAAATAAAAATAAAGAGTTCACAAAAGAAACTCGTCATGTACAAGTAATTTCAGTAAAACTTCCATATTTTTCTCTTGCTTATATTTTATATGTGGTAAGCTAAAACAATGATAACACATCAAATTGTAAAATATCTTTTTCTGTTTCTGTGGCCTTTCACCAATTCTTGTATTTCAAGAGGAACTGGAGAAACAATTTCAATTGATGTGGATTTACAGATGGCAAGAGAGACCTTCAAGAAGTTAACAGAAAAGGAACAGATTTCTTCCGTGGTAATAACCAATACTTCAGAAGTAAAACAATAGCATCTTTTATTTTTACAGAAACAAACATGAGTGCAGTTGTGTATTTTGAAAACCTAGTGGTAAGGGCCAGTGAGACAGCTCAGTGGACTAAAGTGTCTGCCAGCCCCATCCACAGGGTGGGCTGAGTGGGCCACAGAGTCCAGGCGCGGTGATGAATGCCTTTAATTGCAGTGCCAGGGAGGCTGAAAACAGGAGGATCACTGTGAGTCAGAGCTGCATAGTGAGACCCTGTAACAACCAAATATGTTAAGAAAAGAAAAGAAAATCTAGTAGTAGAGTACTGTGATTAGGGATAAAATGGGGCCTGGTGTTCACTATGAAATCACTGGGTTGCAGACACTATGGTAAGTGCTGGCATTATTTTCTTACTAAATATACAATGGATACAGTATTTTTATCTTCAGTCCTAGAAAAGCAGTCCTGGGGAGGTAAATAGGCTCTAGCACAATGCATGAAAAATGTACACTGTCTTAGATCAGGGGATTGCTACTTCAAATGTATTCAAGATGAATCTCTGCTACTGATTCATTCTGTCTCATCTTTGAGTCAATTTAATTTATATACAATTCAGGTTTCCTTTAGGGAGATAAATTTATAAAGAAAGATTCTGGGTTATGCAGGAAGCAGAACATTTCCTCTACTTGTTTATGTGTTAAATGGGAAGGGAGTTGAATTAACAATAGATGAATAACCAGGATTTCTTAGTGCTGAGACTGTTGTAGCAGAGTACCATAGTCTGGTGTTTTATAATCAGTGGAAATTAGGCTGGGGCAGGGTGCATGCTTCAGGTGAGTAATATTACTTATTTTTCACAATTCTGGAGGCTGGGAAGTTCAAGATGAAGGTGCCAGCACAGCTGGTGTCCAATGAGGGCCTACTTTCTCATACTCATTACTGTATTTTTACTTTACCACATAGAAAATAGGTAAGTAGTTTCTCTTGAAGCTCCTTCATAAGTGTACTACTAGTAATTTTGTTCATGAAGCCTTTGCCCCTGGGAGCTAATTTCCCAAAGTTCTTTTTTT